GGAGGTGGCAGATAAGGAGCAGGCGGTGGGGCTGGCAGGCAGAGCCGGCCGCAGGCAGCACCCCCACTGCCAGGCTGGGTGACCACGAACCGGTCACACCACCCTGATGGCCACCGGTTCCCCCTCTTTCGCCAGTGCTAATGACAGCTTCTCCATGCGATAAAGGCACCTGACGCTGCGCTTGGCTGACAAATGTCCGTGGGGCCAAGCCCAGGACGGGGTGTGCTGCCGCCTGCCTCTCTGACCAGCCACTTGTGCTCCTCACCGAGTTCCTCTTGATCCTCAGCTCCAGCCCGTGCTTCCCTGGCGGTTGCAGTTTTCAGCGTGAGTGCTTCATTTGTACCCCTGAATCCCAGAGGATTCGCTCTGCCCGCTCCCAGGTGGGGGGACAGGGGACAGGGGTGGGGGACGTCGTGGTGGAGCCTGCCTGGGGGTTGTTTGGTTTGCAATCCGTGGGGTGCAGGAGATGGGGCGTCGTGGCTCCCTGGCTCATTGACGCCGCATCCCAAGGCTGCCAGCATCCCTTTGTTGAGCTGCCACCCACCGGCCGCCACAGTCCTCTTCCAGCTGGAGACCCTTCGCAACACCATCCCCCAAAAAAGGGGGAAACCTGGAATTAGGAGAGGTGTCCTGTGGAGAGGGGGTGGGACGGCTCCTTGCTGTTTCCAGGGCCAGTCCAGGTAAGGGGATGGAAAGGCGAGCGACCAGAGCAGGCGGTGGCACCGGGGGTGTTATGAGATACCACAGCCCGCTGCTCCCGGTGCATGGCTGGCACACATTCGGGCTGTAGTTTTGAGGAGCCGGACAAGATCCCTCGTCCGGGGCTGGGGACATGCCCGTCCGAGGAAAGCGGGGACATGCCAGCGGGGCCAGCGCCTGTGGGGAGTGGCAGCTCCTCATCCCTCTTCTTGCAATGATGAAGGATATTCTGGCTTTTCTCGTCCCCCGGCGCCAGCGGGGGCTGCCCTGGGGTTGCGCAGGTTAACCCTGGGGTAAGAACCGGTCCTGCCGAGCCAGGACAGCATG